CCCTTTTTTGGCACACCGCCAGCTGTCAATCAAAATATCAGAAAATTTTATGCATTAGAAAATCAGATTCTCTCATTTCCGAACGCCGATTACTGTGCCACTATGAATCAATATAAATGCAAGATACATGCCCTAAACAGACACGTTAGATCGTTTGCGATTTTTTAAAGTCTCTTATTACAATTAAACTAGAAACAACAACACTCTTTGAGCATATCACACATTTACCACAATTACAATGTCCAATCTAACTAAATCTCATCGCTCACAATCTTCATTCGAGTTATCACGCATGACGGCAGATACGAACGATGACCAACCGAGCGTTGAAACCGTCAAGGAAAAGCCTTATCAAAATAAACGTAGAAACCTACCAAGAAAGAACAACGACGATTGGAGTAAAAGGTTGGTACAGATAACACACGTCCATTTATAAAACCATATTGATTGACCTTTTAATTGCAGTCTCGTGACTTGTAAGGTCACATAGTTCAAAACCTAAGGAAAGACAAAATACTAGTCAATTCAGTGAGGACGACAGCAACGGTAGCAGAATTTCGAAGAACGGTAGTAGAAGCTCGTCAGATCGGGTTGGTGGAAGTAGAACACCGAGAGAAGGTCAGGAGAGCTCGCACAACGATCAAACGGATCAAGATGCGGATGCCAGCGATTACCCAGATGATAACGCAGCTGAAGACTTTGGATCTGACTCTGATTCTGATTCTGATTCTGATTCTGATAGTACCAAGGTAATTGGTTCACAAGTTTAAAACCCCCCTCCCTTTTTTTTATTTTTAGATCTAATCCTGACTCATCTTTCGTAGATTGACGCGAAAGAAGCCACCGATAAGGATGACTTGATACGATCCCCGTTTCAGAAGAAATTGTTTTATTTCTTTGAATCACCTAGAGGATGTGCTGCGAGAACGTTCTCCGTTTTCAACGCTTTATGCATTGTGGGCACTGTAATCTTGATTTGTATTGACACTCTGCCAACATTTGCATTGTCTGATTATCGTGCTTTGTGGTGAGTATACTGATGGCGGTCAGTCAATCGCTTTTGTCTCTTCCTGTTCAATTACTTACTATATATTACATTACAGGCTTTGTATCGACATAATCGTGATTGTAACGTTTACGATAGAATATTTGGGCAGGTTCTTTGCTTCAGTAAACAAACTTAGGTTCTTCTTTAGTAAGTTTATAATTATTTGGATGTCAACTGTCATAACTTGCTCGATTTTAATGTTACCGTCACATTTTTAGGACCCCTGAATTTGATTGATTTATTTTCAATCGCTCCATTTTACGTTCAAATATTTATAGAAGGAAGAGCAGAGGCATGTGTTTCAATATCAACTATTCATATACCTTATTAGACGTGTTTGTCAATTCACATTTGGCACGCCTATGACAAATTTTGTCTTTCAGATTTACTTTTCGCTAATATATCAACTTGTCTATTTAGTCGGCATTTTCAACGTTAAGAATAGTGCGCTTGCTCAGGATAGTTCGATTGTTTGACTTTGCAAAACACTCGGAATCATTCAAAGTAAATCTCGCGTTTTTATTATTGCTTTGTCTCTCTCTTTTTTCTTTTACGCCAGGTTTTCTCACATGTTCTTTCATTGCATCCCATCAAAGGTTACCGTGAGAGCGATAAAACGTTCAACCAGCCAAATAATTATAGTGTCATTTTGGGTTTTCATGATAATCCTGTTTTCATCAGGCATCATTTACTTTTTGGAAAGAGGGACTTTTAACCAACAAGACAGGACCTGGTATCGGATGAATCCCGACACCGATCAAATGGAAAAAAGCCCATTCCAATCCATTGTACATTCGTTTTATTGGTCAATGGTTACGCTAACAACAACTGGCTACGGTGATGAAGTCCCATACACCTCGTGGGGAAAATTCTTTGCTGGCGTCACGATGTTGTGCGGGATATTAGTTATCGCAATGCAAACCTCAATCCTCGGCTCCAGCTTTGTTGCTGAATGGACGGCACATGAACGGGCTCAATACTTAGCTAAACTAAAGAGAAGCCGTCATCTAGTTAGACAGTCGGATAATCCGCACGTGGCTCTTGCGTGGCGAAGCAAACTGCTTCGTAAACGAAACGACGACCTTTTAGCAGCGATCACAGAAGTGCAAGAAAAACTAGCAAACGTACATCCGACCCGATACTATCAAAGGTATAAAAATTTGCAAGCACAGTACGAAAATGCACTGACAAAAATATCCGAGTTGGAAGCCTCGTTGGAGAAATGGCGGCGGCTTGCGCACAATTACGAAAAGTTTAATGGTTACCGCCAACAAAGGTATTCGAGCAACGGCGATAATGAAGATAAT